TAACATTGAAGGTGATCCAACCACAATTGTGACTAAAGCAATTGCCAAACTAAAAGAATTAGAAGACCAGTTAGTTGCTGCAAAAGATGGTGATGTAGTCAATGTCATTGACAATGATGATGACGATGATGAGGAAGGAAGCTCTGGTAGTGGAAGTGGAAGTGGAGAAAGTGGAGAAAATGTGATCCCAGAAAACACAGAAAAGCCAAGTACTTCAGAAAATGACATTGATGACAAGAAAGAGAATGAAAATACACTGGGAGGGGGAGTTGGTGGACAACCCAATGCTGGATCACAGGAGAACTCTGCATCACGACATGCTATGGGGGAATGGCTACTCTGCTCATTAATATGGGTACTGAGTTTAGCATTGAGAGCATAATGGAATTAACAGATGGAATTTCATCGCAACTACTGACACAAAGTGTTTATGGTGTTATCCACCACTCTTCACTGTGGATTTACAAAAAGAGCCTTTAGTTTTGATACCAACTACAAGACAAACACTCCCTCTTCTCATTGAGGGAGTTATGTCTACTCATCAACAAAAGCCCCTAAAAGCAATAAACTACATGTAACAAGAATGATACTTCAAAGATAACAAACTTTTTCATTTGTAAACAAGGGATTTATTTTCTACAGAAAGTTACCAGAATGAATATAAATTAACATGTAAATTTTGAAGTTTGCATGACCATGAAAAAATTACCAATTCCAAAACTTTCTTATCCTAGTTTGAAATTCCCAGTTACAAACTCTCAAGATACGTGTAATATTTCACATCAATTTTGAGTTAGCATAATCCATAGTTGTTATGACTTGTCAAATTAAGCTGTACATAGAATTGCTACCATTTAGCAAGCACAATTTTAACACATATGTGCTTTCACATTTAGAACAGGTTGATAAAACCAGGTAGAAAATTTCGCCAAGAAAATTTTTATGGACAAAACAATGCAGTCAAACTACTCTACATTTCTCGGGCAATTCAAAAAGTAAAGTAGACTTTTCCATGTTTTACTCTTTTTAATAAATAAACGTTCTGTTCTGCTGGGAAGGAGTACAAAACTGTAAATCTTTTGGGAATATGACAATTTAAGGCAGTAGTTCAAGCAGTAAAAATGTCCAGTCTTAAGATTAGGCATCTGTTGGGGAATTAATATCTGATTTGGAAAGTGAAATGCTACATTTTTAAGTTATTGAACTGACATGAGAAATTGCTACTAAGTTCAGGCTGTATGGCTTAAAAGTATACATCCATTACTGCTACATTATGGACCCAGGAGCCATGTAGATGCTCCAGAAAGTTGAAGAGAATTGCCCTTGCATTAGACACTTGAAACACTTATTAAGTGGTCTAATGGGTAAATGCAAAGGATTTGCACAGTTTTTGCTTTCAATCTGTCAATCAGAATGACACATTGTTACTGACAAGGTTTGTCCTCCGGCTTAGTGCTATTTGAGTTAAAAATTATTTATGGTTGTATGTGGCTGCTGAAAAACCAATTATACATGTTTCTAGTTTCATGACACCTGTCACTTTCCCTCAAACCATTTACGGTTTATGATTTCTTCTTAAACACGTCTGCATTTATATTGCAACAGGCAAATTAAGTTATTGGATGAAATTTTATTCCAGTCATGAACTAGAGTGAGTATTGTGACTGTTATTGTTCAAAATGTGAAACGCAACAATATAATGTGACAACCTGAAAATAATAATTTTTTTTGTCAAGTCAACCTTTTTTGTGCATTCATGAGTCCACAAAAGAGAAAATGTTTCAAATTTTGTTTTCAAGTGTGCTAGCTTGATTACTGAACTTTGTGTTCTGACTTGGAAAACTGCCTTTCACAGGCACCTCTCTGTCTAATCACTTATGGGGGGGGGGGNAGGAGAGGCGGGGGCCACCAAAAGAATAGGGAAATAGGGGCGTGTGGAGAGTTTTTGGGAGAAGGGGATATGCGTTGAGCAACTGTCTTTTATACGTGTATGCTCAAATTTTTATTGGGTGTATTCTCTGGACATTGTAAATTATTTTTGGACTGTCTTTTCATGATTTTTTTACACCACTTGTTTGATGATGAATGGTATTTCATGGTATAACAAATTTTTGATATTTTATTTATTTTAATTTGTCTTGAATATATTTTTTTGAGGAAGAAAATTACATTATGCATCATTCACTCTTCCCCATCGTTTTTTTTTTCTCTTTGGCCTTAAACTGTGGAACTTCTGAATTCTCATTACTGTTGAGAATTTTTTTGTTTAATCAACTGATTTTAGGAGAAATCTGGTGTTAATCAATATGGAATGATGCAACTTATTTCAAACAAAATTGTGTGAAATAGGCAGTAAAATGTTTTGACCAACCACTAGAAGCTTTTTGATGCGATGGTTATTCCAAAGTGGTTATTTAAGGCATGTTTTTAACAAGAAGATAGAGTCATTAGTTGGGGGTTTTTGGAAGAGATTTATTTTGTTACTTTATCTCTGACAAAAATAATATTCAATAATTTCAGCAATCGTTTAAAAAACAGATTAAAACTATATTGTAGTGTACATGACTGTAGTTTTAGTCCTTTAAGTATTTTAATGTAATAACCCAGTGCAGTGACAAAGTTGAGCTAAAAATGTTTGTTTTCAAAACCCTCTAAAGGAACAGTTTTAAAAGACGATGTTCTCCCTTTTAAGGGGAAGCTTGTTTGTGTGCAGTTTGTGTCATCTGAAACAATATCTTACCTGTTCTCAGCATTAATGTCTTAATATGTTTTTACACTGATTGTTAAAAGTTGTCAAACAGTTGTGGTTAGTATGTCATGAGCAGACACTCTTTGTATATACCCACCACAATTTCCACATAAATAAAACTCTAATATTCATCCAATATTTTCCTTGTTGTCACTTGTAAGTTTTTTACAAAGGGTTGATGTAGGTGTACATGTACACTAGGTGTCTCCTTGGAGTGTTATGGAGATTTTGCAACATTGGGGTTCTCTCTCTTAACTCAAGTCTTGGAAACAATAATTATTGTTCTCACAGTCAATAAGGTATGTGAGGTGCCTTGCATCTCTTGTTTTCTCAAGAAATGCCATTTACCATTTTCTGGTCGCTTTTGGTTTGTGCTGCAAGAAGTTGCAAGCAAAATAAACATGGCCAAAAATTTATTTCATGATGGGGCTAATATTTCCTTTCACTTTGAGGCAAGTAACTTGGTTGCTTGTTTGGCCATAGCAGGGAAACTTTGGGTTTATGGATTGGAAAACGGTGCACCATGCAAGCATTTCTGTTTTTTCCCCTCTAATTTTCCTTTTAATTTGGTTTTGTTGGCATTTCAGTCACTTTTGTTCATGCTGAAAAGTTCCCATCAAAAACACCAAGAAAACAAGTCATCTTTACCTAAACATGCTTGTTTTTGCATACTTTGTAAGACATTTCTAGCTGAACCTTTTGCCTACCAATGGCTTATACATCCTAGGTTGTCACTCAGCCACTGAGGACGCATAAATACATCCTCAAACAAAGGACATTACTGAGATCCTGGTTGTTTGCGATGGGTTGAATATAATTTATTATCCCCGGTAGTTGAGAAAAGAATGATTATGGCCGCCAGTTTGAGAGGGTGTTAAGCTCTTGTTGGGAAGGGGTTAAGGGCTGATTGTCAAACACATCTGGTGATGACATGACAAGTGGTACAAGGACCATGGACTATTTTAAGGCCTCTGTCATAAAAATGAGTGAAGACTCTAGTATGGAAATAGATTTCTGCACAGAGGCCAAGTTATCAATAAACAAAATAACATTTATTTACATTACATCACATTCTTGTACAATTCATCTCTCTCTAATTGCTATAACGGAATCTACATGTCACATCTACATGTAACTTGTTGATAAAATATTGCTTTAAGCTAGCAAACATATAATATTGATGATTCTTACTTTGTATAAATTATACATAATAATGAAGTATTGCTTTCAAGTGGTGACAAAATTACATATAATTTTATAAGGTAGTGCTATACCCATGCTTGCTTGGGGGAGAAGGCACACTGAAAAGGTAGCTGACCCATTTTTTTTAAAAAACATGGGATGTGCTTTCCCTGCGTCACTGTAATTTGTGCACATCACTTGAGGTTCCAGAATAAACTTGTGCTTCTCTATGGAAAGTTTTACAAACTAAAACAAGCTGTGTATGAAGTTCATAAAACTCCATGTTTATATGCCTCATATTCTGGGTAGTCCCTCAATATGGTATGGGATAAAAGTCAGAACCAAAGTAAGAAAATTAATGAAGAATGAAAGGATATATAATTTCCTACGTAGAGCAAAAATCATTAGCAGTCAGAAGTCAAAGTGACAAAGCTTTCTACAGATCATTTCCACTGACATGCAATGTCAAAGATAGATCAAAAACCATTCTGTGGATTAAGTTAAGAAAGAAGCGGCTTCCATAAGTTTTAAGCCTGTGCATTTCCCAAACTTCAGATATTTGTTGAAATGTTTAGCAGAAATTTACAGAGCCCTGTAAGGAAATGCAAACATCTGGCACTTACTTCAGCTATGTAGGCGACTGATTGTCTGTATTGACCAACCAAGCATTTACATAAGCACTTTTTCCTAGTGCTCTAATTTCTAAAAAGGCTAAAAATCATGAGATAAGGATATATTTTTTGACAAATGCAATCCAGCTCAGTGTCAGCCACTGCCAGAATTCTGAAATTCAAAATACGCTGGTTTCCAAACAAAGCAAGCTATTGAGCTGTAAAATTGTACACAGATGTAAATTTATCGCGTTATACCTGATGAGGATAAAAACTTGGGTGGCTCTTTAGTTTTGGATTTTGGAAAATGATGATGTCATGTGAAAACGATCCATAGGAAAACTCATTTTGCAGCTGATTTAGAGTCATCTTGTATGGACCTTTGATGAATACCTAACACTGATTATAAATCATTATTTAGTTTCTAGGATTGTCTTGTATAAAACTAATTCAGAAAAAAGTACCACATGAAATAAGAAGTACAATAAAATAATAATAATAATAATAAAAATCAAAACGAGAAATCAACAAACTGCTACTACCAAATACTGGTATCAGGTTGGTAATCAAAAAACCTTTAATATTGGCCTGCTTAACAGAGCACATTTTCCTGTAATCACCTGCATGGCAAACATTTACTTAGAAAACTTACCAGAGAAAATGTTACAAAATCATCCAAAAAGCATTAAAAAAATATAATGATTGAAAAAGAAAAAAAAAAAAAAAGAAAGAAAAAAAATGTTTGAAGACACCAAACATCTGATCACAGAAAACCCATAATTCTAACCTGTAAGTTGGGGTAGACAGTATTTTGTCTAAATATAATGTTCCTCAATAAATACTGGTACAACAACACATCTTTGCTGTTTTCCCATGGAGGCTGAATCACATTTTCTCTATGACCGGTCATAAAAGCACTTTTGAATACAGATCAGTGCATAAAATTATAGCTTAAGAGCCATTAGACCATTTATCAAGCTCTTCAGAAACAATTGGCTTAGGACTAATATTTCTGGTCCCAGTTGTTCGAAGGTTGGATAAAACTATCCATCCGATAAATTGCTATCCAGAGGAAAAGTGTTAACAAAACAAACCATGCTATCCACTTGATAGTGACTTATCCCGTAGATAGTGTTATCCACCTTTCAAAACACCCAGGCCAGATGGCTTACAAACAAGTGCACAGTCATCCGTAGTGGCATCAGATACAAAACCCAAGAATATCCAGGTTGACTGTGTTGAAAATTAACTTAAATATTAATCAGCTAAACTTTTCCCATTATGTCTAGCTTGTTTTCTAACAGTGACATACACAATGCTTAATCCATCAGTCTTGTGGGGTCAGCTGAACTTCAGGCCTGTAATGTGATGCATGCCTGTGACTACAAATCATCATTATCATTGTTATTAGCAAAGAATCACTGACTCCTCCCATTTTTGATTACCAGTTCTCAGTGTCTGAGAGAATGACTTTGTTTAATACCACTAGATTTCAATATTTGAAACAGTGCTTCGTAGAGTACATATTTGCTGAATTTCAGGCAAAGTTAAAAAAAATCATCCCACAACTTTTCTTTTTGAGGAATCACCTTAGGTGATCAGGGAATTCAGTTTTTCTTTGATAATAACCTGAAGAGCTCTAATAACAATAATATTATTGCTCATTGTATTTGGTGTTTCTCAGTGCAACCACTGGCGAAAGTCATTCAAGAAGATTCAATGTCGTAAGTTGTAACAAACGGATTATCATCATTATCACTTGTGGAAGTCCAGAGTACTTAAAAAAGATTTGTCAGGAAACAACCTCAGAAATATGCCAAAGACTAAAGTATTACTGGATTTTTTTTGTCATGGCCTACTGTAAGTCTGACAGTTTAATTATCACTTGCATTATGTTACTACTGTTCATTTACTGATAGGTAGTTATTATTATCCCTCAGAGTATTTAAAAAGGAAATCTCTATCTCATTTTTGTTGGAGAAATAAATAATGTATCATTTGCATGATAGAAACTATTTATACTGGAACAACTATTTTACTGTCATATTCTACAAGTGACTGTCAGTTAAGCTAATCTAAGACAAATAATCACTTTAAAATATTTAAGATTGAAATCCAATGATATTGAATACCTCAGCCACTAAAAGAATTTTTTGCTCTGGTGGTCTAATACTCCACAGAATACTTTCCAGAAGTACGAACTTTATTAAGTTACTTATTACCCTTTTAGAGAAAAACAAAAAAAACAAAAAAAAAAACTGCTGACTCATGCATTAGCCTGTTACTTTCCTATGAGGGCTACAAATAATGACAGAGCTAGCAAATGAAGCAAGGGACCTGTAAGAGTTGAAGATGAGTTTCCACGTTGTAATACATTGCCTGTGTTTGGGCTGGTGTGAACACCTCCACCTTGACTCTCACCAACTTCATTGCTTGATTTCGTTGTTGAAACAAAATCAAAGTCTTCATCGTTATCTGTGAATAAGAAAACGTCAAGCTAATGATTAGTCCTCAGTCATCCAGGCAGTTATTTATGTTAAGCAAACAGATGCAGAATCTGATGGTTTCAGGTTCCTCTTACTTGCATTTTTCTTAATCTGCATCTTATTTCCCTTATAAAATACAATTTCTTAATCAATACATTATTACCTGCACAATACACATTGATACAGTGACCATGTTTTACAATTTCAGTAACTTCAAGAAATGTCCAGTAAATTCTGCAGCCTTCCTCCTTAGCCTTACTTAGAACTTGTATTGCCATCAGTTAATCACATCATATCTGTCACCACAGTCTAGAGTAGGGTCACTTTCGTCTGTCCTTTCTGCATCCATGTCATGGAAGTTTGATTGTAACTAAAATGCAAAGACTCAGATTTGTAACCCTCCATTAAAATGAAGCCCTACCTGGAATCTCGTTTCTGTTTTCGGGGTTTTTCCCATTCCCACTTGAACTACCACAGTCTTCGTCATCTTCCCCACACCCACTTTCATTTATGTTATTTTCTATGAAGAGACAAGAACCATTAATTGGTCATTGCTATGTAATGATATTTGTTGGTGCAAATTTCAACTATCCTTGGGATGGTGCCTACTAAATACAAAGGTTTGTGCACAAGATTAGGATCATGCAGAAAAAGTAGATGTTTACGAGGGTCATTGGAATCCACAAAGAAAAATGGGGGTAGCCATGCATTTTTTAGAGATAATTAGCCTGGAATCTCAAAAAATGCTGACGTCAGCATTTTTCCAAAAAAGAAGGAAAGGATATTTCTCCACAGACTTCCTTAGAATTCGCCCTTACAAACAGAAAAGCAAACACATTTATAAAGATTTTAAAACTACATGGTATATGGTAACAAAAAACCACTTTTCGTATGCTTTTAATAAATCTCTGCAACAGCACTTTTAGCATCTCTGAAAGCCTTCCTCTGGTTCAGCTAAAATGCACTCTAAATAGCTTTTCCTCATAACCAGAAACTAATCACGTGTTGAATAGGCTTGTCACTTCCATTTCTAAACATAAAATGTAGGGGTAACTACGCATTATTTACAATTATTTTTGAAAACTTTTACGGTGCCTGTTACATTTTTTCCTGTCAACTCCTCAGTAAGTGAAACATTTGCATCTCTCCCACTTGTTTTGTGTGCACACTACACTGTCTGCAGGTACATGTTTACAGTTAGATTTCAGTATAATTTTCGACAGATAACAGCTAGCTGGAAGCCATTAATAGTTAGTGGTTAGCATCTGCAAATTAGCATCTTGTATTTACCTTTGCAAAGAATCCCTATTCAGCAGAGACCAATTAAGCATATGTTTAAAAATGAATTTTACTTTGGTAATTAAGATGTAATAAATTTTTTAAAAAACCTTTAATAAGCTAATGGTGAATGGAATTTACAAATATGCAGTTATTAGATTACATCCTAAGAGTTCATTAAAAAGTTGTAAGACAGATTGCAAGTAACATTGAAGCTGGTTGTCGACTTGAATTCGGGATAGTTTGGCCTTCAATCTGAAAGTTTATTATAGGGAGTCTGCTTAATAGAAGTTTCACTGAGTACAGAAATAAACAATTTATTGATAAGAGGTATCCTTTATTTCAGGCTCTCACTGTTTTTTTTTTTTAATTACAGCTGAAGGGTTAAACAAGCAACTGCTCTATAATGTTCTACTATTATTTGAAAAAAAAAAAATTACCAGCACTTCCACTGCTACTGCCACTTTCATCATCCTCCTCATCATCTCTCTCAACAATGAACTTCTTGATTAAGCGATTTCTGTCTTGTATCTTCCCCATCAGCATTTTCAAATAGTTCACATCCTCTGATGATGGCTGGAAAGCCCCTGGCTTTGTATCTAAACCTGGATATCTTCAAAAGGAAAAAAAAAATTCAAACTGTATATCAGTTAATTCTTAGTTATTGAATGGCTATATCTATCATGCAGTTTCAAGAAACATTTACATCCACTGCATGAAAGGTCCTTGGAAATTCCAAGAGGGTTAGAGTGCTCAAACAACAAAATTTGTTGAAGAAAATGTCAGCTTAACTAGAAGTTTCCAAGGGTTAGGAGGTTTAAACCAAAAAGTAACTTCTTTTTCTTTGTAAGGATAGATGGATATATTCTGGAGCATTTTGTACTACTGTATCTACACCTGTTGTATAACTGGTGTTGCTGAAACCGTCTAACACCTCACCTTGCAAAAACTGGGTTTATGTTGTTGATGTGCACACATTTTATTGGACCTTTACAGGCAATTAAACTGGGAAATAGTCATAACACGCAAATAAAGATAACTAGATGCCTTGGTGTACAGCTGGATTGTGAACTCAAATGGGATGTTCATGATCTTTCACACAAAAACTGACTCTTCTTAGCTCTTTGTACTTCTTACCTACTACAGCAAGAGCTGATTTTCATTTTCAAGTAATTTTACCATCAGTAACTTATGGTGTAATAATATGGGGTTCCTGTGGGAAAGTGCTTTTAGATGAGCTCTCAAAAATACAAGTACGCACTGCAAAGATAATATGCAACATAGACTGGTATAGGTATATGCCCAGTAGAGAGGTGCTCACTCGTACTACATGGAGAAGTTTGAAATCATTGTATGAGCACAAGCTATTACTATTAGCTCATAATAGTTTTTATGGCCTCTCTCCTTCTCCAATTGCCCACCTACCAAAAACATACACCAATATAATTTAAGGAGGAGGATGATGTTCTCTGTGGCTTAAAGCCCAATACCGACTTCGTTCAGAAGTCAACATGTCATAAGGCAGTTGCTCTATGGAACTCTCTAAACAACGAAACTAGAGCTATTTCCCATGCAAACTGTTTCAAAATGAAAGTATGATGACCATCTACAAGAAGTATATATATTTAACAAATAGATTCCATGTTGCTGTGCATCTGTTCAGTAATACATCACAGATGACATCAAAATGTGGTAAGAACAAAAAAGTGGCACACAAGGCGATAACCGAGCGTGTCACTAATGTTCTTACCACATTTTGACATCTTCTGTGATCTAGTACTGAACAGATGCACGACAACATGGAATCTATTTGTTTCATATAACAAAGAAACAAACTACAGAAAAAGCTTGTATATTTCAAAATCTTTCAACATAACTCGAAAGCCGGGCCTTTGCCCACTTTGGCAAACATGAAAATAGCAAATTTGACATAATTTGTCGACTATACAAAATGAAGCAATCACATTGGTTGCTATGCATAGCAAAGAATTGTGATTGGTCCAGGAAAATCACGCCGCTGTCAAACTTGACTTGAAAGTTGCCTTTCGTGGAATGAAAACTTACAGCAAAAGCAGATTTGAACTGCGAAATCCACATATCTTAAAGAAAATGCTGGAAAAGTCAAGTCAGCTTTCATCATCAGAGCAGCCCTGTGAGCTGAAGAGCTTGGACATTGCCTTGAATATTGCAGGAGTTGAAAAACACATAATAATATTATAATTGTTTTGTAAATAGTTCTATTCAAAATTGCAATAAGTTATGAACACAGGCAGCCCAAGCTCTCTCTGTGAACCACACAAGCAACACAATATGGCATTGAATTATAAGGGTTTATATGGGATTTTCTACAAGATATCCATGGAGGTAGTTAAAAGTGAAAATTCTCATCAAAAATGGCTTATCTTATTCCATATGTGCGTTGTTTGCTCCTGGTATGGTTATTCTACCGATTTAACTTGATTTAAGCGCCTTTTTTAAATTCCGGTTTTCCCTTCATAAAGAGAGGACAAGGCGAAACACCTCAGTCGGGACAGCCTGTTGAACGAAATCAAAAATCCCAGGCTAAAATGTACCCACGGCCACAAATCCACTGCAGAATTCAAGTGCAAAGGTTGATCTTTCATTTCAATCCTCTAGCCACAAGGTTACCACGCCGATTTCAATGGTCATTGGGTCGCGGATGAAACAGACACGGAGCTCTTCCATCGTTCTATCATTTCACTACAGACATGAAGAGCCGCCTGGTGTCGCTCGCAGGGCTGCGATTGTGCGGCTAGAGGATTGAAATGAAAGATCAACCTTTGCCCTTGAATTCTGCGGTGGATTTGTGGCCGTGGGTACATTTTAGCCTGGGATTTTTGACTTCGTT